AAGTCCCTGGAATAGCAGCTCTGGAACAGACCAGGCTGGCCCATTCCAGACAAATTCTATCTCTGTAGGAACAGTGACTAACTTTGCACCTTGCTGGTTTAATTTTTTCTGTTATTGATCAAAATAATGCAGTCTGTTGTAATTAGATGTGGCTAAGGGCAAGGAGTTAGCATCACATTTACACAATTTCAGCTGGTGAATTTTGGTTGTGGGAAAAGTGGGACTTTTAAATTTTTTAACAGTTGTGGCAAATCAGGGACTCAAGTTTCAATATCCATAATTACAATGCTGTACTGCTTCTACCCTGGATGCTCCCTGTTCCTGAACACATTCAGCATTTAACAAGGTGTGCTCTGCCATTCAGCTGATCCTGTTATTTTCCTGGGATCAATGAACTCTTGCTCATTGTAATCAATCCACTGCATGAGCAGTATAATTTTATTACTGCTGTCCAACTGCTCTCACACTGTGTTTGGTCAAAATAAGAATACTTCTGAGTTTGTGGTGCTGAAACTCTTCTTTGACCTTACTCAGGCTGGCCAGAGCTGTGTAACCATTCAAATTATAGTAATAATATAATACATGTATATTTTAATATAATATATAGCACTTTTTATGCTTTTTTAAATACATGTTTCTTGGGGAGCTATGGGAGAGGGTTCACTGAACTGTACAATTCCTGTCCATACAGTTCTATTGCCTTTTATTACCACTGGACTGTATGGAAGTGAATTTTTAGTGACTGTCAGAGCTACCTGTGGTTTTCTAGAAGTATTTAAGAGATACCTGGTGGTGTGAGGCCAGTAGTCTCACTCAACTGCATTGTCTGTCTTCCAACACCTATTCCTGGTGCCAGAAGAACATTGACAGATCCTTCCAGCCAGGCTGGGCCATAGCCTGTTACTGCAGTGCCTGTCAGGAATCATTAGCTAGTGATCTCTTTGACTCATGTTCCAGCTGATTCTCTGATCCCTGTTCAAGATCCATGAATGAGGCAGAAGCATCTTTACAGCTCAGCAGCTGTGAAATGGCTAAACACAGCTAGAGCTTCAGAAATCAAAATAAACCTATCTCCAATCAAGTTTGACAACAATATCAAGTGCAAAGCTGAGAGGAGAACTAGGTTTTTGTGGGTTTTTTTTTTAAGGAACAGTATTAGAAATCAATATTATCATGTTTTGGGCAGAATAATGTATTTTACCAAAGTAATGAAATACTGGTAGTAGCATTAATCTTGTGTTGGGTAAACGTTCTTTATTCAACATATCTTGTATATATTCATGCCTTCTATTTTTATTCTTCTGTCCATTATCCCCAGATGTATAAATGCTTAGTACAGCCTATGTCCTTCTGTCTTAGTCCTCAGTGTCTGCCAATGGGGTGTGTGCATTTTTTTATGTACATATAAAAGAACTACAGGTGTGACAATAACAAAAAAACGAAGGGTGGGATTTGGATTTGGGGGGTGGGGGAGAGTTTTGTGGAAGGAGCTGTTGTATCTGGTTTATGTTAACAGAATAACCCCAGGAGGGTCATACTGGCACAATGCTGAGATAATTGAGAAGCAAATCTGGGCCCGAGTTCTGACTAATATTTTTCTTGGCAAAGGAGGTAAACATGAAATTCAGCACTATCTAGAGAATCAGGGCAAGAGCTATACCATAAATAGGCTCTAATGGCAGATTTAAGCTGAGCTTGTTACTTTATTTTTGTGCTATAACTCTCACCACAAGAGACATAGAAAGACCCAAGCAAAAAGTTGATTCTGTAAAAAGATGCTACCACAGTAACTTTCCTCTTTCCAGTTACATCTGCATCCAGCTTTTAGTGCTAAGCAAGAAAACAAGGGAAATTGTACAATGCACCCTCACCTTTTTATCTGGGAGCCATGAAAGCTGCTAGGGTTTTGTTTATTTGTTTTTCAATACACCAAAATATTAGTGCGTGTCCTGTGAGATGGTTGTCATGTGGAAAACCAAGTTGAAGTCTTCACTCTGCCACCTCCTCCCATCCTGCACCAATGGGGACAAATGATTGAAACCTCCTGCTCATTTCTGTGTTAGTCTTTGATTTTCATTGCATTTAGGTTTTTAACTGGCATTTCTACTGCAGACCCACAGAAATGGGAAGTTTGAGAGAGTTGCTGTTCTGGGTCAGATAGAACCAAACACTAATTCATGAGCAGAATTGGTGCAGTATTTAGAATTTTTATTTTGTTAAACTTACATTTTCTTTTTAGAGGTAGAAAAAACTAAGTTATTCTAATCTGTTCAGCTGCATGTACAATGATCCTTTTTCCCCTAGTTGCTAGGAGGAAATGCACAGCAAAACAGTATGGAAATTTTTTAATGGATCAGAATAAATCTATTGATACAATGAGGAGGCTGATAAGGATGATCAGGAGAAATAGATTGCAACAGCTTCCTTCCTCAGGACTTTTTGTACATAGCAAATTAAAAACCAAACCAACCAACCCCAACAGAAAAAACAGACATTTTGCCCCTTCAGTAACTCCAAATCTCTGAAAACTTTGAGTTTTGAGAAGGAAATTCCTCCAGATTTATATAATACCCAAATCCACTCTTCTTAATGTGCATTACCCTTCTAGATGATGTGGTCCCATTCAATATTTCTTTGCACAAAGTTATAAAATTTTATTTACATTTCCTTAGCATGAAAAAAAATTACCATGACATTTAAATGCATCATATTGACCATAGAATACAGAAGCAAAAGTATGTTACTTTAATAAGAAGACTTTTGTTGTCTAGAATAATTACCCCATCTTTTTGGTTTGTCTAATGACAGCTGTATTCTTTAGGACTAAAAATGGACTTTTGTGTAGGAGTTCACAGCATTAATTATCAAAGTGTTGCACCTCTTCCTTGGATGTCACTGTCCTTCTCATTTTAAATGCAAATTAAAAGTGTTCTGTAACTGCAAGAGACTTGGAGTGAAATCCTCTAGTAGCTGCATGTTAATCCAGTATTTTATCCTGCCTCCTCTGCTTTTCATATCCCAAATGTTGAAGGTAAGGGATGCACCACAGGTGAGGAGACATCTCCTCACCTCTTCCATGTGAATGGATACTGGGCAATTGTAGCATGCAGGGGCACTACCCAGCTCCCTTCCTGATTTGTGTGGAGCAGCAGGAACCTGAGACCAATATGAGCATTTCTCATCCATAAGAATTAATTACTTTATGTATTTACTTCTTTCTAGCAGCTGTTGCAGAGATGCAGTGAACCAACTTTACTTGAGCTACTGTTTTTTCCTTGGTTTTAGCTGTACTTTTAGGCTTTTTTATACCTTTGATAGAAAAAAATGTGCACTTGCCTCAGCCTTAGGTGCCTATGTAACCTTTCTGTGCTAGATAGGAACTAGAAGCCCCATGTCCTGGTTTAATACTGTAGAGGCCAGCTTAAAGTAGGAGTGATTTCAGTCCACTACATAAAAGTTTAGAAACCTCCTGACACTCTTATGGTTGTTTTTTTTGATATGGGCACGATTATTATAAATGTTGTAGGTCCTGTGAGTTAAATGCAAAACCAAGAACTGTTTCTTGGACACTTGAGTGTTTCTATTACTCTCCTGGACTATTAGAAGGACACACTGCAGGCTTTGACAACTCTGTGCACTGGGTTTAGGGTGAGTTCTGAACTGATGTGACAAGTTCCTAACTGAGGTGCCTTTATACTCTGTCATATCTTATGCATTGGTAACTCAATTGGCCATGACCTTCAAGGGTAGGATGCAATGCTGATGTACATGAGAACATAACAGCTAAGAAAGTACTTGAGGGATGATAAATAGTGCAGTCCACATTAATAAATGCTGCTTTTTGTGCACGTGAAGCTTAGGTGACTAAAAAAATAACAGCCTTGTGGAGGGATGCTCCTGAATGTAGTAAAACTCTTTTGAGAACTAGGAAATCTGAGTAGTGGAACCAGTGGTAGAAATTATATTAGCACACCCAGGTTGTCTTCTTTTGGACCAGGCACTTTGCCAATGATAGGGATGCAGTCTTACTAAGAAAATGCTCTTTTCCCTCAGTATAAATAGGCATCTTGGGGCATGCAGGATGCTGTCACATGTCCCTGGGCTGTTCCCATCCCCCTTCAGAGCTGGTAAATGACATTCACTCCTCCTTTCTTGGAAACGTGCAAAAAGGATTTCCATAGATAGTCTTTGGAGATTTCCTGTTTTCTCATGTGTGTAATAGGTTGGGTCAAGTAACAAAGAGGAGGGAAGAAAGAATAGGATTTAATTTTATATCCACTGTGCTGTCATCACCATTAGGAAAAAAAAAAAGTGGATGAAAAGAAAAAAATTATACAATATGGGTGATGTCAGTGTTAAATTAAATTAAGATCATATGGTTTTATGCAGCAGCTGTAAGCCTTTGGTTATGCAAAGGGTCATGATAACAGAGATTCCAAACGAATGTTAATCAATTGCTGTGCCCATGAATAATGAGTCATAAAATAACCTTATCTACAGTGTTTTAAGCCGACATAATTGAAACGCATAACCTATAATTTATTCACTTTTGGGGCATCTGAATTGTGCTCAGACAAGTTGTCATAGTGACAGTTGAAAGAGAAAATAAGTTGTATTTCAGCCTGTCGTTCTAAACCATCCTCAGGTATTGATTATCAGAAATTCATCAGAGCACAGCCCTTTAAAATCTTTTCAATTATGGATGAGGAAATTTCTGTTGCAAATGGGGTAAGACCTCCTCGGGTTTGGCAGGCTGCCAAAATGCAGGGATTTAAATGCAAGTTATATCTTTTTAATTTGTAATTATCGAGGCATTTCAAACAACTATAAGTAATGATCAAAAACCTAGTCCCATTACAGCTAATTAAAGAAGAAACGTACAAGTGGGAAAACTTTAATTTTGTGTTTCATACAGAGTGGAAGGGGGGGGAGGGGGAAAAAAAAAAAGCTAAAATTCTTAACATTGTATTTACTGGGGGTTTTATTTTCCTCTTTCACAGCTTTTGAACACCTCTGTAAAAATCTTCACAGCACTTTGTGATTCTTCTGGCCTAGGCAGAGCATATGCAGCTATCACCAAGATCTTGCTAAGGTAGGTTGGCACATCCTTGTGTGACTGTCAGTGCAGATTCATTCAGCTGTGAAAGACTTAAATTGTTCCAGGTCTGTCACTTCCCATTACTGACTGCTTAAATTTTAAGCAGTGCCCTTCTGGAAGTAAGTGACCCTTTCATCCAAAGTTATTTTAAACTGGTACACATTTCTTAAAGTGTATGATCCAAGGGTTTTTTTTTTAACCTCTAAAGTATGTCCTCTTTTTCCCCACACTTTGGGGGCTTTTCAAATTTGTTTGGTTTTGGGTTTCATTCTCGTTCCACAAATTTGGGAGGGACCTTATGGGAAAAATCAAAATCCAGGAATATTTTCCAGGTTAAAAAAGACAACAAATCTTGAAGATCCTATCAAGCTTCAATAGCTTGTAATCTCAGTGTAATCTTTTCTGAACTTTAAGTTTCCATTTATTGCATTCTCTTCTTCTGTGGAGGCATTTCTGCTTTGTCCATGTGGAGCTCCATCTAAATTTGTTGCAAATATGATGCTTGTCTTCAGTATTTTCATCTGGCATCTGGCTTTAAAATCTTCTTCTAGGTGGATTAGTTTGAAACTACTTCAATCTCTTGCACAAATAATTTTGACACAGTCTAATGCAATTATCAAATGAAGTAGGAGAAAAAGAGATTAAAGTGAAGGTTGCAGCTTATCCTTACTTCATCCTGTGTTTGGGGACTTTAGTGCCTATGATGCATGATAGAGGTTGGGAAATTTTTGGCAGAGGATGACTTGTCACCAGGTTCATTTCAGTGTGCAGAGCAAATTCTCCTCTTTGGGTTAGACACCTTGTCTCTTGGCCTTTCAGAGCACATAGGGACCAGCCACAAGAACAGTTCTCTTCAGCTTTCTGATACATAATTCATGGCTACTCATATTCTGAGCATCCTAAATAAGCACATGGGATAGGATATTCAAAAAACCACTGAACAGACTTAAAATAGCAGGTCCTGTTTTCTCAAAACTGTCTCAAGCCTGACTGAGAAAGATTTAGTTGCTAGGACACCAACTGTTACAATGAGTGACTTTGCAGTGAGTGCAAAGTTGTCTGAGCTCTCAGCAGCATTCGTGGCTTCCTTGTGTTCAGAAAAAGCAGCAGGCTGGGCAGAGGGTGGCCTAAGACAGCCAAGAGGACATTCTTTAAAAAAAACATGTATGTTGGGGGGCATTCTCTATTTATCTGGCAATGGACAGTCTCACTGCTTTCCAGTTGTTCCAATCTGAAGTCCAGGTAGATGACATCCATAGCTCTACCTTTGTCCACTGATGGAGTTGCTCCATCATAGAAGGCCACTAGGTTGGCCAGGCAGGACTTGTCCTTGGTGAAGCCATGCTGCTGTTTCAGATCACCTCCCTGTCCTCCATGCCCCTCAGCATGGTTTCTAGGAGGGTCTGTTCCATGATCTTCCCAGGCACAGAGGTGAGGCTGGCAGGTCAGCAGTTCCCAGGCTCCTCCTTTCTGCCCTTTTTAACAATGGGTGCAGTGATTCCCTTTTCCCATTCACCAGGGACCTCCCCTGACTGCCAGGACTTTTCAGATATCATGGAGAGTGTCTTGGCACCTCCACCAGCCAGTTCCCTCAGGACTCTGGGGTACATCTCGTCAGGTCCCACAGACTTGTGTATCTTCAGGTTCCTCAGGTGGCCACAAACGTGACTTTTTCTCACAGTGGGAGGGACTTTGCTCCCCCAGTCCCCAGCTTGTGGTCCACCAGCTTGAGAGGTGTGGGAGGGAAGGTTGCCAGTGAAGACTAAGGCAAAAGAAGTTGTTGAGTACCTCAGCCTTCTCCTCATCTGCTGCTACCAGCTTGTCAGTCTTGCTCATTGGGGTGTATGCTTTCTTTGACCTTCCTTTTCCAGCTGACATATCTGTAGAAGCTCTTATTATTCTTTGCATACCTTGCCATGTCCAGCTTCAGCTGCTCCTTGGCCTTCCTGAAACCCATCTCTACACAAGCCTACATCCCTACCTACATGCCTACATCCCTACCTACATTCCTACAACCCCACATCCCTACCTGTCCCTGCTTCCACTGCCTGTGCTTTCCCTTCTTGCCCTTTCCAGGGCAGTAAGGTCTCCCTGGATTGGGCAGCCTGCAGTAGACACCAAGCACGAGGTTCCCTTTGTTGCCTCAGTCTCTAATTCTTACCCATTTCCACCTCCTCGTGGCTATTCTTCAGACACAGCTCTTCACACTCTGTCCATTTTTGGATGTAGAGAGAGGGCAACCCCTTCCCCTCTCCTTCCTCACCTGTCCCTTCTGAACATGAGTAGGCATCAATAGCCACTCTCCAGTCATGGGGTTAATCCCACCAACTTTCAGTAATGGCAAACTGAGTCAGAACTGCATTCTGACCTTCAGTTGACCATAAATTCAAAGAATCTCAGTTCTGGATTTATGCTTCAAAACCTTAAACAGAGACTTGGGTAAGATATAAATCAGGGGGGGCCTTAAGTCTTCTTGAGTGCTTGAACTCTATGAGTGAAAGTCATAGAGACCTGGAAGGTTTTCATCTGTTGTCTTCATGGGACAACTGTGCAAGGAGGTGTCACAGATGGGGAGATGGCCTTCCATGAAAGGAAGGCCTTCCATTTATTCATTGTTTTAAGTAAAAATAGGTAAATGCTACAATTACATTTACAATCTCACAAGCAGGAAAAGTGGCTGAGTTGACTGTAAATTTTCCCTGACATGAGAAAATAGCAAAAGCAAAATTTGAACTGGGTGTTGAAGGAGCTGGCAAAGCTTTCAATTGTCTTGAAATGTTGTGGCAACTAAGGGAAGGTTCCTGAGGACTGGAAGGTTGCAGACATCACTCCTCTCTTCAAGATCAAGGAGATTTTGGGCTGATCAGCCTTGCCTCATCCCCTGAGAAGGTGATGGAGAGAATAACCCCAGAAGCAACTTCCAGATATGTTAAGGACAAGAGGGTGATGGGATTTAAGTCAAGGAATTGTGCTTCAGCAACCTGAGAGCTTTCTAGGATGAGACAACTGCCTTGGTGGGTGGAGGGAAAGCAGTGGATGTTGTTTCTCTCATTCTTAGCAAGGTTTCTGACACCATCTCCCATAACATTTTCATGTACAAGCTGCTCCAAGGTGGCTTGGATAACTAGGCAGTGAGGTAGACCTAAAACCAGCTGAGCTGCCACCTTCCAAGGATTGCAAGCACTGAGATGAGGTCCAGCAGGAGCCAGTCACTAGTGCTGTACTCAGGGAAGGGAAATGCAAAGTCCTGCACCTGAGGAAGGACAACCCCAGGCACCAGTCCAGGCTGGGGGCTGATGAGGGAAAGGAGCTGGGCAGAGAAGGACCCGAGTTTCCTGGTGGACATGAAGTTGCCCTGGGAACAGGGAAGAGGGATTTCAGCAAAGTCCCCAAATTTCTACTGGGTGGCTGTAAAGAGGAGGAGCCCAGGCTCTTCCCAGTGGTGTAGTGACAGGATAGGTGGGAGTGGGCACAAACTGAAGTACATGAGATGTCACTTAGACACCAAAATAAGAGAAGAATTACTGTGAGGGTGAATGCTAGAACAGGTTGACAGAGTTTTTCATCAACAAAATCATGCTGGACCAGCTGTAGTGGGTCTTCCTTAGAGGAGGAAAGGACATCAAAAAATTATTTGAAAAGCCAATATAAAGACAGATAAGTTTCTGTACCAAACTTTTGGATATTTGCTTGTCTGACTTAGAGCTAACAAGCAAATCTCTGGCAAGTCTATTCAGAAAATCTTGGATAAATGCCTGAATAGTTACTGTTGGTGACAGAATCTCCATTCTCAGCTTGATCACTTTTTCTTTACTTGTATTTTTTTACCTGATCTAGGCTAGACTCATGCAAATCACTTTATATTTGATAGGTCATGCCTTTACAAAGAAAAGATGACTCTTGCCCTAAAATAATGCCTTATAACCATGATGGCTGTGAGATTTTTGTGACAGATTGGAGAAAGTGGCTCAGCCACCCAGAACTGGACTAAGGCTTTAGAATCTTTTGTGAAATCTTTCCTGAATATGTTTCCACAGACCACAAGAAGCTGAAAATCTCTGTCTTGTGCATTTAGGCATGTCATTTTCCAGGGAAAAATCCAACATAATAGCTCATGTTCTTGGCTTATTCTGCCAGTGTCCACCATGGTAATGACTTCTTGTGGACACATGATTTATACATCCAATTCAATCACATGAGCAATCCTATAAAAGGTGCATATTTTCATAAAAGTCTAATAGGGGGGGAAAAAATCTCACAGGGCATTTTAGCATGAAACTGGAAAATGAGTTGCTGTAGATGTGTAATCTCTTCTGCTGAAGTCATCATAACTGTTCTGTGGGATCATGAGTGACTGTATCTTCAGGAAATTACATTTTATGCATTTAGGCAGGTGATGTCTAAGGAGATAGAAAGTATATGGCTGTATAAAATGTAGATTTTGGAAGGAAGTATAAAATATTAGCCCTTTGAGTAGGAAAGACCTGTTTATCACATTGCCAGGATAAAGTGTTTCAGTAATCCTTCTAACATACTTGAAATACCTTAAGCTGCAGTGCTTTGAAAAGTGCTTCCTTGGAAAAACTGTTAAAACTCCCAACCAGTTACTAGTTGGCATCAGTGAAGTTCTCACAGTGAGAAATATCTTTCTGGGATGTATCAAATTGATTTCTCTTTGCTTGAAAGATGTGAAACGCCCCAGAAATTTTCATGTTTTCTATATGGGGAGTGTAGGTTTGTCTGTGAAATATAAAAAAAAATAGCCAAAAAGACATCAAAACATTTCTATTAATTCATGAAATTAAGAAAACCTTTTTACATTTTCCTCCTGTCACTGATTCCATTTGCTTTATTACTTTCAGGCTCTAGCCCACAAACTTGGTGGCACAATCAACAAACCCCTTAGTGGCTGTTTCATCTCTGCTCTATTTGATTTCTCCACTCTGAGTAAATGATTAAGTTTTCATGCATTGGTTCAACCAAAATCTATGTTCACTCAACCACATCCTTTATTGATTACTTCTACTGCAAACAGTAGGCCAAGTGTGATATACATAATTGGACAGTTGTCAGGGGATGTGGGTGTTAACAGTCCTGTTTTCCCAGTTGGAAACTGGAATCACCTTGATACACAAATATTCTGCACTGTTTCATTCTCATTCCTTGGACCGAGGAGTCCTTCTCCTCAGAATATATGTTTTTAACTCTCAAAGGTCTGGTTGAATGGATTTAATGATTATACCATATAATATGCTCTTCAAGTTGCACCTGTGCACTGCATATAGAAAACTGGCAAAACTGGAATTAATATTTGTCTAACACTTTAACCTTGTCCTTTAACTTATATAAATCATAGGCTGTATTTCTGTGGGGAAACGTTTGATTTTTCTCTTCTTAGGGGAGGAAAAAGGAAAAACGGGGTTTAAAAATGTGTTTCTCATTCTAAAATTTAGAAGCCTTTTGACATGGGGCAAATGTTGATGGTTCAGTATGTTTCATATTCTCATTCTGTTAAAATACTCAAATTAGGAAAGTTCAGTAAATCCAGCTCTGCTTACTGACAACTAAGCTTCACAGTAGGAGATACCTGAATGTTTCAAGCACGTTGGTTTGCAGGGGTTTGGAATCCTTTTGTGGCAATCCTCAGTCACATCCAGATAATCCCTGCTAAATTTGCAGCCATGCTTTGCTCTAACCTGTGATAATTACTCTGATAGCACAAGACAGAGAATTGCAGACTTCTGCCAGATTTTGAAAGCACATATCCCTACTATAGTTTAGAATAAAAAATATAATGTAAATAAACCCCAGTCAGTCGTGTGCTGGAAGAATAAAACTTGAAGGCATTTTAAAATGCTGAGGAAATAAATCACAATTCTTTATCACTTGCAGGAACTTCTATTTCTGTGAGTTTCTTAATTAAGACTGGATTTTCTGGCTTGCTTGCTGGCTTGACATTTAGCATGCTACACTCCTACATTAGTGACTCAAGTTCATGGCTAATATTGGGGTCAGCTGCAGTAACACTTCAGCCTTAAAGGGAAAAAGAGTTCAGTGCCTTACTCACAGGCAAACCCAGATGTCTGTCTTACCTCTTGTAATCACAGTGCAGAGATCTTATATTGTTAATATGACCAGCTTTATTAAAAAAAAAAAAGGAAATCTGCAAATGTTATTGTCCAAGCACATTAGCCAATTCCAGCACTGATTCAGCTGTGACCTCAGCTTGCTCTGATCTCCCTGGGATTTGAGGGTGACACCTGCAATCCAGAGTTCAGAGGTTTGCCTGTGTGACTCCAGCAACCTTTGATCCAGCCAGGCAAAGGGCAGTACTGCACTCAGGGAAAGGCTGTCACCCCCAGAACAGAGAGACAGCCTCTGATGGAGCTGCTGCTGCTGCCCCACCAGGGTTCTAGAGCAAGAAGTGGCAGCTCTGAATGACAGGAGCACACAAAATCTCACTGAAAAATTAGCCTTCATCCTCCTTTCCCCTGTTTTGTCAGGGTGTGAGGTCCAGCTGTATTGGAAGTGTTATCAGCTGCTTAGGAGAAAAATTATTAACACCATGGAAAATCCAAACCCCCTGTTAAATCATCACCTGCAGTTTCATTCTTGGCCTTAAAATATGGCATAAAATTCTGAAGGAGAAGTTTTTCTTTCACTCAAAATAAACCATCAGAACCAAAAGTTGTGCCATCAGAGGTTCTGTGTGGATTGGTCTCATTGGGTTCAGCACAGGTAGTGCCTAGACAACTGTTTTGGAAAGAAAGTCCAGTCACAGAGGAGCCATCACAGAGTTCCAAACAGAGGCACAGATCATTTGGAGGAGCCATCTGGGTGAATATTTAATTTTGTTCCTGTCCTTTTCATCAGCCAGGGAAAAGTAGATGAAACTATTAAACACTTGGAAGAGTTTCTGGAGGCTGCTGAGAAGACTCATCTAAGCCAAAGCCTGGTGGACTCATGTGTACTCCTTGGGAATATTTACAATGAAAGAGTAAGTACTGGGTGCAGTAATGATGTCAAACCATTGGCTTAATTCATGGTGAAAATCTGGTTTTGCATATAGCATAACCCAGAAGAATTTGATCCAGTCATTGTATCTTACAAGAGTTACCAAAGGGGAAGGTACTGTGTAAATAAATGTGCCTTAAATTTTTGGGAAAGGTGAAAATTTCACATCACATGTAACACATAAGGGTTTGTTTCCTAGGACAGATGAATAAATCTCCAAATTCAGATCACAACAAACTTTCAGTGCTGTGAAAAATCTGTATCCAAACCACTATTGGGATCACACATGCCCAGAAAGAATCATCAGTCAACAATGAAATTTGAAACTAATTGAAAGGAAATGAAATTTTATTGCATTACACATTGTTAAAAAGCACAAATTTCAATTCATGTATATGACATTGCACACTAATTAGCAGTTTTCAATATTAGCTTCATTTCCTCTATACTTTTTCTCAGCCAAATTGATGAAATGGGTGCTAGTAGCCAATAGATTGGCAGAGGTCTGTGTTGGTAGTTCCAAGCTTACTCCCTTAGCACACCTAGAGATGCATCACTTGCACTGCAGTAGTACATGGGTTTTTTTTTTTAAATCAGGAGGGATTAAATCAGAAATACTACTGCAGAAGTGAAAGATTCATGTTGAGCCCTTCAACACCTATTTTAGAGCTGAAATGCAGGCTGGACAATGTGGAAATTGGGAAACACTTTCACTGTGGACAAAATAAAAGTAGAAATACCCTTTCAAAATCACCCTTTCTAGCTTCTGCTTCTTTTTTTGCCAGAATTTCTTTTTCTTGTGTAATATATTGAACCTACTACTTGCCCCTTTTCACTTAATGACCTGAAAATGACCTGAACTCCCAACTACAAAAGTTGCTGGCTCATTTTTATTTCATAAGTAGTATAAAACTTTCTTACTCTGGAATCTCTAAATTAGCCTGAGAGTTTTCTATTGACATATCTTCTTAGGATAAAAGCTGAATTTCCCATTGAAAAGTAAATTTTAAAGTCATTGAGGACTTGCTGAAGTGACTTTAAAATGGATTGTGTGAAATTTAAAAGAAACTAGAGTGATGTGACACTCTGCTTAATTATAATACTCCAGATTTAAAAAATAATTGACTGAATTCTGTTTAACTACTTTTACATTTCACTACTTCTGCCACCATTGCTAATAATCAATTCTATGAGAACTGGTATTTTAAGAATTAACCTCATTTTGATTATTCTCTGAATCCTCTTTCTCAGTTCAGAATTTGGTGCTTTGAACTGGGGTAGTGATGTGGAAGGGAAGAAATGTAGTGAATTAATCTTATTAACTTACATAAAATATGTAATTTAAACATTAAAAAAAAACAAAAAAAACCCCAACAACTTAACATTTTACAATTCCCCATTTTCTATAACATTTTTTTTCTGCAAGGTCAGCAATGTTTACCAAAAAGAGCCTAAATTAACAGTTCCTTTCTTGGATCACTTCCTGCTAGGTGTCAGCTGTCACCACCAGTATCCTCCAAGTCATTATTAGGGTCTTTTTATTCAGCTCTGTACTTCCACCAGTGATAACAATTACTGTCCTCCTCATCACATTAAAGAGATCTCTATTTATATCCAGATCTATCCTTGGGGACCTTTAGTAAACCAAGGATGTAACTTTTACTGTTCTTCCCAAAGTGACTTTGACCCAATTCACTTTGCTCTGTCCACACTGCTGCTTTATCTCCAGCTCTCTCAGGTCACTCTTTCACCACCATCACTGTCTTTCTTCAAATGCTGTACACTCAATTCCTCCTTTCTAGTCATGATTCCTTTACCTATACATTTCTTGTTCTCCAAACTGCCAGGCTTTGTCTTCTGCAGGGCTATTAGGTGTAATTTCTCCCAGTTTGTTAAGCAGGTTCCTTACTTAACCTGCAAACTCTGAAGTTAGCACACTTCTTCATTTCCCATTTCACTTTTCTCCAGTTTCTTAGTCTGATTTGCTGCATTCCTCTTAATAATTGCATCACTTAACCTATTATAGTTCTCATGAGGATGGTAGGGAGATGTTTCTGCTTTTTATCTATTATCCCACTGCTTATTATCCTTTATTCATTGCTGGGTCCTCATAGGCCTAAGTCTCTTCTCCTGCTGTATTAAGCAAAGCCTAAAGACTACCTGAATTTCTATTACCCTTTGCTCCTTTTTTTAATTACAGGCACATTATAACAGTTATAGAAATTTGATCCCAAAAAAGCAGTATCAAGGGTGACATTTATCAGTTGGAGCCTCTCCTCCTGGTCTCTATTCTCTATGCAGAATGGAATTTCAATCTTAATAAATCGAGCTGGGGGCGATGGGATAAGACAGCTCTGAAAATGTTTTTTGGGCAGGAAGCTTGTGCCATCAAGGCAGCAGAATTCCACATCAGTGGGACAAATGGAAGGTGTCTTCCAGGGATCAGGAAGGCTATAATGTGGCGATGATAAACACATAAAAGCTGCCACAAGAACTTTGTCTAGCTCTGACAACAGCCAGAACTAACTCCTTCAGAATAAGGCAAAGGATGAACAGTTCTCTTAATGTGGTATTTATTTACATAGATTGTATCTACTGGAGCTTTCTCCACTGCATTCCTGATGCATCCTTTCTTTTTTTAACCTTACTACATATTAGAGTTGTTTTGCATTTAGATGAAGCCACTGCAGAGCTGCTCGTGTTATTCCAAGGCCACCTTCCTGAGCCTGAGTTAATCAGAACATACTAAAAGTTACAGATATTACAAGTGTACAAATATTACAAAAGTACACAAATTTTACAAAAAGTTACAAATAGACAGCATGAATTACCTATTTTCTAAAAAATTAATTTCATTTGCATTGTTAGGTCCCTTGGAATTCCCTCAGAGCCTTGCAAAAAAACTTCCTTCTTCAACATTTGTGGCTAAATTGTGATTTGATTCCTTTTCTGTGATAATTAAACATTAGACAACACTGATACTGGAGCATAAAGTTATTGGATGATGCCACATGTAATAGTAACACAAAATGAAACCTTTCAAGCCTGGATTATACCACCTAGTTTTAATGAGAGGTGTAATTTTTTTTTCCCAGCAATTCAGTCTCTTTGTCTTCAGATTTCTTCAAATCTTTTATTTATGCCCTTAATTAGGTCTAAGTTTTTAAACTGGAAGCTTGCTTTTGCAACTTCTTCTGGCTCCATTTCTGATGGTAACTCGAGTTAGCTTCATAATAAAAAAAGAAATACACAAAAGATGAATAAATATACCAAGAAATATTTTAGCTTTTCAGCAGTATCCTTCAACCCAGCATGATTTTTCCTGTTTTTCTTTCTGTTCCTATTTAGTGGAGAAGTTGAGGAGTTTTCTTTCTATATCTCACATAAGAAATAGTTCTTGTTATACTTTAATAAATTTAATAAATTATAATTTAATTCCTCTTAAGGTATTATCTGCTGTATACTCCTTTTTACTGGATTCATCAGTGTTGGATTTCTGTGTTCTGCAGGATAAAGAGATAAATTGTATGAGTTTTCTGTTTAGTAACAGAAAAAAAATGAAATATAAGCTGAGTTTTCTGTTACAGAAAACAGAAAACTCAGCTTATATTTCATTTTTTTCTTTTCTTAACTTTATCTTGTATTTCTCCTACTGCTTCTCTCTGATTAGGAGTATCCCTGGGTTTTGGCATACACCTTCTTCCCCTGTAAATCTGCAGGTTTAAATTTCTGTTCTTTTCTGTGCTTTAAGTCCATCATTTCATTATCCTTTTTTTTTTTTATCCCATTTTTAAGATTTCTTTTCTAAAATTTAGCATCACAGTAGTAAATTAGGACCTTTCCTCTCACAGAGATGTTAAATTTAATAGTGATAATTTCTAAATGACCTGTCTGTAATCAGTATTAATACTTGGCATTGGTATGCATAGATTTGTATGTTCAAAATACTACACAGACAACCAAAAAACAATTATGTTCCTGAGAAATAAATGGTTTTCTTTGGATTTTAGAGGTTAGGAAACAGCAAGGGAGAGTGATTTGCTTAATACCATGCCATGAGTCATTCTGAGGGTTGGCCTCTCAGCTGCAGCATCTCTGAGGGGCCAGAGGAGCAGGCTCTAATGTCAAGGTAAAATCCAGGTGACCACAAGTAGTTTTTACAACTCTTTTCTTTTTTTTTTTTCCCCTCTTCTTTACTAGGGGAACTATAATGAAGCTTTTGAATATTTCAGTCAGGCTTTCGAGGCAGCAAAAACTTTAAACAATTTGCCCTTAGTGGATGAAATAAAGGCTTACTGTGGCATTGCAAAGGCTCATAAACTGATGGTGGCATTTAGCAGACATATAGAAGCAGAAGATCCCATCAGCCTCAAGTACCTGCTGGCATGGAAGGAGAAGAGAAGTGACATGTGCACTGACCCTCTTCCAGTCGGTAAGACATTGGTTATGAAACACATTAGTGCTGTATTGTCCTCAATGGTTAAGTCATTTTTCTTGTAGAGGTTTATTAAATTATTTCCTGGGCTTCATCTTTGTGCTTAATGGAGGTTAGATTTATTCTTTTATATGCTTATTTTAAAGGCTGAATTAAATATGTTTAAATCCAATATAGCAGGGAAAAACAGGTAATAGTGTTTGCTATGGATGGTAACTTGTTTCAGGGATGTTTTCCAAAACATCAGTTGCAGGCAGACAGTGATGAATTAGTTTAGTCAAACATAATTATTTTAATCTTTAAAGAACAATAATCATCATCTTCATTTGCAGTCAGTTGTTCAAGCACCTCCAAAAGTAAGTTACCTGTTACTAAAACTTAGGAGCAATTTCTGCTGAACATAGATGGGCATAGTTCTGAATTCTGAAGGGCGTGCTGGCTTATTTTTGGCATCCTTATCCCTGACATTGGAGGGGAATAAAAAAAAAAGGACCTCTATGATTTCTTGACAAACTGACATGCATTATCTCCAGGTATTGATAGTATTAAGCTCTGTTCTAGTGAGACAGGAAAAGGGATAAGTCTACTCCACCTTAAAACCTTCTTCTCTGCATTCCTGTGGAGAATGTGAGTCTGGAGTACAGTGGAAATAAATGACAGCAGGGGCAAGGTTGTAACATGGAACTTCAGAGTTACTGTGTCCAAACTCCCTCATTTAATCCCAGACAAAGAACTCTTCCCTGCTGGTTTCTTATGTATCTTTTCCTCTCCTAGAATTGAAACACATAACTTCAACTGTGAATTTTATACATAAAGTAAGTTTAATACCCTGGTAATTGAAGGTGTTAGTGGTTTAACATGAGCCAGGGTACCAAAGGCTACACTGGGAGCAACTGAGAAATGTGGAATGAGGACATTCACTGGCATGCTGAAGAGGTAACAAATTAGATAGGACTCTGTTTGGAGTTCCAGTGATGGTAACAGGGCAGTTCTTTCTCAATCTCCAGATTGTTTATTCTGAAGAAGAGGAGGCTGAGGGGAGACCTTATTGCTCTCTACCCCTACCTGAGAGGAGGTTGGAGTGAGGTTGGTGGTGGTCTCTTCTCCCAAGTAACAAGCAATAGGATGAGAGGCAATGGGCTTAAGTTGCACCAGGGGAGGTTTAGATTGGATATTAGGAAGCATTTCTTTGCTGAAGGAGTGAGGCATTGGAACAGACTGCCCAGGGAGGAGCTGGAGCCACCATGTAGGCATTCAAAAAACATGTAGATGTGGTACTTTGGGACATGGCTTAGCAGTCATGGCAGTGTTGGGTGGATGGTTGGACTTTGTGATCTTAGGGGTCTTTTCCAACCTTAATGATTCCTTGATAATGTGTTTCTTTAATAAGTGAATATCCACCACACTCACAGATCTTGCTGGCTGGCAAGATTAAATGGGTGCATGTCTCCTGACAGGGATATTGAGTTTCTAGACCTGTAGTGCAGATGCCAAGAATTCCAGCAGAGATGGTCAAAGAAGAATCCAATGTCAAGCAACTTGTATGCATTTCATGTGAGGATCATTATCTGCAGCTGATATAAACCAAGGAGGCCAACAAAAATCAGCAATGGCAACAGCAAAAAAATGCCAGAATCCTTGAAGAGATAGCATGATCTTTGTGTCTTCAATGTGTATTTTACTCCTTCACCTAAAGAGGTTTTCTGTTCAACTCGTACATCACTTTCTCAAGCCAGCTGTAAAACTCATTGAGGTCCTGAAATGATATGTGCCCCTTTAAGCTCAAGTTTCATGCTCCTCTTTAACAGTACTTCAGGGATAAAAGGAGTGTGATTAGAAAAGCCCTTTACATCCTGGCAAGCGTGGTAGCAGAAACAAGTTTTGCCTGCTGAGCTTCTCTTCCTTCTGTATTTCTGCCTAGTTTACCCTCTGTTACTTTCAGTATTACAGTTTTCATTTTAGTCCCAGTTAACTCCAGGAACCCTATGGCTACTGCATATTTAGCAGCTCTTCCAATTCAATATCATCCTTCTCATTAGTGCTCCAAGCTTACTCTCATGATACCCAGATTACATCCAGGAAAACACAGTGTCACACTGTCAGCACAGCCTGTAACATTCTTCATGTTTTGTGTGCCAAGCCTCTCGTTAGTACTGGCATTACATTTTTAATATCTTTGTCTGGCAGAACATGACCTGGCACCAATTCAATAGCAGGATTCATCAGCTTTGAGTTTCAGGTACAGCCTTTATCCTACCTTCCAGGGGAATGTCTGTGCATCCTGTGATGAACTCATCACTTTGGAAAT